CAACATAATGCCACAAAACTATGAATATGAAAGTATTTCGTAAGAGAGCCACTTGCATAGTCCCTGATATAAAATGTTTGTTTAATTGGCATTTGTAATTAAATAAAAACATTTTATAAATTCATTAATATGCATACCACAACCAAATATACATGTGTGTGTGTGTAGTAACACCGCCCGCTGACGGACCCTGGTCAGGTGCCAAAAAGTTCACTAGTGTCGATGCCACACACATATAGTGTCAGCCTTGGCCTCCAAAACCAAGTGTGTTTGCGGGTAAAACATTAACTTACTTATATGTCTCATACATAACGAATCCAAAATAAAGAGGACAACAAATTTCACTTAAAGTCTATGACTAGTGAATGAAATAGTATAAAATTTTAAGACAACGCCACTTTTGTAAAAAAAGTGTATTGTATAGTATATTATTTTTTTTTTTATATTTCTTAATTTAATAACGAACATTTCTTGATTTTATAACAGACAGTGGCATTTATAATAAATATAATTCTTAACATTGTATTAATTTTTAATTTATCAATTAAAAAAAAAAAGCATTATTCATTCCTCTACCTCTTTAAAAAGTTGCATTCGACAAAATTTGAATTCTAATATTCTTGCTCTTGTCAATTCCCGAAACTCGTGTCTAATATCAGATATATTGTAGAGCCTAAGGTCATGCGCCAACCTACATTGTGTGAGTTCCCAAAATAAAAATTAGCATTTGCTCAATGAGGTTTATAGAAGAGCCAAGAATAAACATTATAAGTTCCGAATCAAGCATAAGTACTTATTTAAAGTCCAATCACGGCGGGAACGTAAAGCAAACTTTAATTATTATTTCTTTATAGGCATATGCCGCTGACATAAATAATAAGTAATTGACGTTGTTATTTCTATGTCCCATTCCGGCCAGTCAAATATGTGACATTGAGGGGGCCACGAGTTGACCAAACAGACAAACTTAATTGAGGGAAATCCAAATGCGGGTTCATATTTTTACATAATAATTTCACCTGTTATGAGAAATGTTGAGCGCCTTCGCCCATTTCGTTAAACATTGACACAATCTATTCACACCTATGAAAATAGGTCGGTTGCACCTGCCATACTCACATTTTGTGCAAATATCTAGCAGATCAGGCAGCGTTCGCACTCATAATAATAAAAAACAATATGCAAACTGTGCAAAAAAAAAAACAAAAATTAAATATATATAAAACAACGCGACGGCATCACTTTCTCCTTTAATAAGTACATATTTACATTTACCCAACTCTTTGGTAAATTGGTAAATTGGCCAGCCCAAGTGCCCGTAAGCGCTGCCGCCGACTGTCTCGGGACACATTGCATAAATATGAGGTAATTTTTAATAAGCAAAGAAGATGAGCTCCAGCCTCTCAATCTGCATTGAAATATAAACTCTTGGTGTCAGTTCCTTATCCCCCATTTGACATGAAGTACGGACAGATTTAGATATAAGGCCTGCTGGGAGCTATACAAAATCTAGAGATTTCACGCACCACGACCTTATCATATTTTTCTATTCTACTCCTCCCATTTCCACATTATCGATAAATATCGATTTTGATACATGCTCTTTTAGACAAAACTCGACGATTACGTATCAGATTAAGGCCCTGCAAATTTTATAAAATTTCAGAGGGAGACTTGGATGTACACCCACTTAGGAACTGCACATTCAACCAACTTTTAAGTTATAATAGTAAACTTTTAACTTAATTTTTATTTGTATTTCTTTTGTATATCTTATAGTAACCACTTTACTGGCCCAACCAAGCCATTAAATGAAGATCATATAGTTAAGTTGACTGTAAGCAAACTTGAACTTGTTGTTTATCAACCCAATGGTAATAAAAACAACTACATATTTGAGAAAATTATAGAAAAGACTGCTATGAAATTTGAATACCCTCAAACCTGTCATGATATAAGTTAATATCATGTACCTAAGTCAGGCATTTTAGGTGTACTCCATATATAAATCTTTATGGTAGTGTACAAAATGTCACGATGATATATAGCGCATAATGTACTACGATTTGTATAAATAATATATGCATAGTGCCCAGCACACTAACAAAGTACAAATACTGTTAGGATTATAATGTATTAAAAATATTTGACCAAAAATTCGGTCAGTTGGTTGGGAAAATACGATGTGCTGACAATGGCAGGCATTGCTTAAGATTTAGGGTAGCCCATTGCACGTACAATTTTATTATTGCAATATTTTTGCCTTTCTCAATATGAACATACAAACGTAGATAATATTTATGAGCCGAAACTTTACGAGCGTTGACTAAAAAAACGTATTCTCTATGTCAACTACAAATAATATACAAGCATAAACTTATTTAAAATTATAATAAAAAATAAGCACAAAAAAATATTGAAGTTTTATGTACTCAGGTTAAATATAATATAAATAAGATTGTAATATATACTAATCACAAAAAAATAACAATATTCAATATATATTTAAATATTATTATAGCAATTATTTACTTTACAGTTAAAACTAATACTTTTTAGAAATTAAGTATTTTTTTATATAAATATTTTGAATGGTTGAGAAACCATTTTTTTTTTGCCATTTCATTTATTAATTTCTCCAGCAAATGTAATGTGAAACTAAAACTCAACAAGATGTCAAACAAAAATTCGAAATTTTTGGGATTGTCCGTTGTGCGATGCTGCGGCGTAGTTACATTTCGAATACTCTGAAACGTGTGTAAACATGGGCATGGCATCCACAGCGCGGCATTTAGCGACGTATCCGAGATATTTGTAACGAGCACCTGCCCAACTTAAAGTAACTCTGACTGGGTTGTCCAGATCTGCAATGTTGATATATGGGATTACCATGTATACAAGGCAAATAGGGGCCAATGGGCGCCTGCATGCTTCACCGCACGTGTGCGCTAAACATGTACAAATTTCCAAAATAGGTACCAGAAAAATGTAAAAGAGCAGAAATGTAGCGTACTTTTTTTTCTTGTTTTACTGAAATACATAAATAAGTCCAAAAAGTACAACACTCTGTGCGTCGCGCCTTGGTTTGGGTCTGGGACTTTAATTTGCTTTCGGCTGGTGAAATTTCGCCGTTGATGTACTCGTTGCTGTCGTTGTTTTCTTTGCCGTCACGCTGACCTTGATCTGCTGATGGAGATGGAGACGCGACTTGGGGCCACTGATGAGCCGGGGACTTGAGCCGAGAAAAAAATGCAGTTGCCTGCGTCAGATTTACTTAATTTTTTTTATGCTTATGCAATATCACGTGCACACATAAATATGTAAATCTTCTGGTTGTTTATGAACATTATGTAATGGCTAAAACACTTGTTTGCCGTTAAGTCAAATCGGTTGGGAGGTGTGCTTATTGTCATCAGTCAATGCTCAAAATCTCATAGATTGAAAGCTGAGAAGCTAATTGATGAGGGTGCCAAATATGATAACAATAGTATTTCCTTACAATAAATGACAGATAATCAGTCGAATATCAGAAACATAAAATTAGTTTAGAATTGTGTATTCCAATTTCAATTAATTTTTTTAGTTCTGTTTATTTTTTCATTATTTATAATATTCATGCCAAATTGCAAACATTTTTCTCTCTGCCTGTCTGTGAGCCATTAAAAAAAATTTGGATCTCCTATGCGATTCTTTGCGATTTTCCAGAACTCTGACATTATGATTTTTCATAGTCACTCTGATATTACCCTTTCAAATGTATCTTTTCGATTTTATAGATTTTACTGGTTAGTACATATGATGCCAAGATTTGAAAAGCTTCTTTAGTTATATTTTGGGTGCCAAACTGATTTTCTAATTGTGCCATACTCTCACACTCCTCCTTTGCTGATCTTAAATAATGCATTATTAAATGAATAAATGTGGTAAATTCCTATAAAAAATTAACTAGATAATTGAGGAAAAGAAAGTGATAAAAAATTAGATAAATAATAAATAAAAATTTGTAACTATTGTATGATTGTTTCACATAAATCGAATTAAAAAAAAATAGATTGCAGCACACAATGTACGGTGTTGCTAAATTATAATATTAAAGCGTTAAGAAAATGTGTGTCAATATAATTATTGATTACATTAGCTACAATATACCATGAATTCAATAAGTATATGTATATAAACACACTTTCTCAAGCATGTCTTCCAACCGCCTTTAATAGATATCCATAAATAAACCGACTACTTAGCAACTGACTTCCTAATTGGAAAATGGCAAGGTCCGGGCTCTGGCGAACCTCAAGACTGGAAACAAAATGTGTCACCTGTGACTTACAGCAAAATAAACAATTTAGGTTATGCAATGGCCAATGGCCAAGCCCAAGACAAAAAGTACACGAGCCGAGCACAGACCCACCAAAGAGTAAATATATATTTTTGAAACAAATACAAATGTAGAGCGGCTAAAGTAAAAATGCATTAAATTATGTAAAGTTAAAGAGACCAAAAAAGATACAAGCGAAATTGCCATGCGCCTGATGATTTTCGAGACGTGGTCGTGTCGTGTCGTGTTTGTATAGCTAATTATGTAGATGGCTGGCAGTGGAGTCGAGTAAATAATAACAACAACAAAATGGCCAAGGCGCGTATTCGCACTGCTAAGTGGTGCAAAATGATGGACGCAGACGCATCTATTATGGCACGCACCAGCGAGTGCTAGACACATGAGTACTTACGATCCCTGGAGAGGCCGAAAATGTTTGTCAATATGCAATCGACAGTTAACCGGCCACTTAAAATTCAGCATCGGCAGCGAAGCAACTCCAAAAATTCATTTTCATATGAAAAACCCAGCACAAAGTTAGGCTTAAGCCTAAAACTGCGACCGAAGCCACGAGTGGAGCACAAAAAACCGAAGTCAAGAGCCGAAGTCAAAGCCGAGCCCGCAGCCGAAAGCGCAGACACAATGATCGACCCGCTCATATATAAGACCGGGTGTTACCAAAATATTTGTGTCATTGCAGTTTCATAAACTCGTTCGGTCGGTTGTTGGTCCCCTCGTCGCGTACAAATTCGAGGCAATTTTTGAGAAAACGAAAGTGCGTGGGTGTCAGTGCAAGAGTTAAATTAACGAGAGTCAGAAAATGAAAGCGTTCATTGTCGCCAGTGTTTGTTTGTTCGGCCTGTTGAGCCTGGGCTCGGCACAGTTCCAAAATGGACGTCTGGAGCCGCCAAATCCGCAGCTATGCGCCCAGCGAATAATTCACGAGAAGACACCCGATGGCAAAGGGTGAGTTAATCTCAAAGCTCGAATCTGAATAATGTTCACTTAGAGCTCCTTGCAGTGAATTAGTATTAAATCACCTTTAAACTTGTCCAACCCTCTAGTTACTTCTTCTCGTGGCGTGACCCACAATTGAAAGGCGTGGAGGAGGATTGGCTGACTGCCAGAAATTTTTGTCGTAGACGCTGCATGGACTCGGTTTCGCTGGAGACCAGTCTGGAGAACGAATGGATCAAGCAACGAGTTGTAGGCGAAAATGTAAGTTTAATTAACTCATATAAAAATGACGGCTTTGCTGGCTTTATCCTTAAAAACAAAAGACTTAAGCAATAAACCTAAACGTTGTTGCAGATATTTTAAGCTTCTAAGCTTAACAGACTTTAAAAAAAGAAGAAAAACATTTACATATATATGCATATCATTGTTGCTTCCAATAAATATTTAGCTTACAAGCGATTCAATAAAATTGAGAGTCAAATATACATATGTATATAAACAAACTCAACTGAATATCAATAAAGCTTTGACACCTTTCTGACAAAAAAGAAAAAAAAATAATAATATACAATATAAATAATAATACAAGTTTCAAATTTATAATTTGCGCCAACAAAACTCGAAGAAATTGAAAATAATTAATGATGCTTGCCTTACGAGTTTAAATTTAATTTTAAAGTCTTTTGTTTGAATATTGTGTCACGTCTGTTTGGACAATTCGCGCGCTTTCAAAGTGTGCGCTAACTTTGAGGCAGTCTCATGCAAATTTGGCTAAAAATGTGCCAAAATTAACTGAGTTCCAATTAAATGCGATTACACACACACATATATATATATATATGGACAACTAAGTTCAATGTAAAGTTACATGAAAACTTTCTTAGTTGTTTTCACATCACAGCGATTTATCTTTTTGCGGTAGTCTTCTGTGCCTGTTGTTGCTGCTGATGTTGTTGTTATTATTACACTGTGCACACGATTTGTGTCTTATGCAACACAAAGACAAATAAGTGTCAAGTTAAAGAGCTGGCTGTGACTGTACTGGCTGCTGTTGACCAGCGGCCGGCCGGCAGCGTCTAAGACTTAGGTGAGAAAAAATTGAAATTGTAATGAAAACGAAAGTGAGTGTGAGGAAACAGTCAAGGAAATACAATATAACAACAACAAAAAATCAATATGCATATGTATAGTTAACAGCACAAAATGGTGCACAGCCATAGAAAAGAGGAAGTGCTGCGGTTTCCAGACGAATCATTGCCATTGCCAAAACGAAAGACTCAGGCAAAAAACTTGCTGCTATTAGCAGCTGGCTGTGGTTAAACCATAATTAAATTTGCAATTGTAAATTGAAGCTAAACACAATAGCGAGTATTCAATGTGTTGCCTTTAACCGCAGCTATTATGTTTATAATATCAAGATAATAAATTTCACTTTTCTTTTTTTTTGAGAAACTTCTTTGGATAGTGTTTAAATCTGTGCAACGCATACAACTACAAAGATTTTGTTGGCTTTCATATTATGGTATTTCTTTTAAGTCAATTCACGAATGCGCTGATAAGCTTAAGCCTCTTAAGCTAATCAATTTATAAGTTTATAATGCGCGCTCCACTTTTACTTTAAATCGTATCAGATTGAAGAGGCAAACATATACCGTCACAAATTCTAATTAGGCAAGTGCATGTTTTAGCTTCCGCAATGCATTGATTGATTGAACCCATAACAATTACAATGCTGGCGAGGCCCGCAGCAACAATAGAAAACAGTTCCATGTCCATTAAATTTTAGCTTTCCGCTCAATGGAGTTTTTCAAAGGGCAGCATCAAGCACTCAATAACGACAGGTGTATGTGTATAAGTGTATATTGTGTGTGCACGTTAATACCATATGTATATACTATATAAACAGTATAAACAGTTTTATGGCCATTCGGGTGAAAGTGACTGATGAACATTACGGTTGTTGTCGCTGTCCATGGCTCTCTTGTAATGTTGACAGCCGCTCAACGAAACCCGCCGCCAACGGGTGCGGCCACAAAGGGCGCGACTTGGAATGGGTTCGCTTTCAATGGCACCATAATAGCTGCTGGCTGGCTGTCTGACTAGCTTTTGTTGCAGGGCGTGCAGGCCCAAGCCTCAAACTGGCAAAGCAGCAAATGTCGAAGCTTAAATTTCTACCAGCAACAATTTGTGCCATCGCATTTTCGTGCGTACAATAAAATAAACTAACGGAAAATTTGAATTCGAGCATGGGCAAGAGCAATGAACTTGAACTAGTCAAGTTTAGATCATGAGTTTTAAGCCTTAAATCCATTTAACCTTGCTTTGTAGCATCTTTTCTTTTTTCCTTTCCCTCTTAAGTCGTTTCTCTTTTGTTCAAAATAAGTTCGAGTTTTATGGTATTTATGGTTCACATTTTTCTCCTTTTATTTATGCGCATGTACTTAAAGTATTTTATTTTTGTTCTTGCAGGTGAAATATATCTGGACCAGCGGTCGCTTGTGCGATTTCAAGGGCTGTGAACGTCCCGATCTGCAGCCCACGAACATCAACGGTTGGTTCTGGACCGCTACTCTGCAGAAGTTAGCACCCACCACAGAGCGTTCCCAGGGCGATTGGTCGCCCACCGGCGGCATTGGCCTGCCCCAGCCCGATAACCGTGAATTCAAACAAAACGGCGCACCCGAAAACTGTTTGGCCCTGCTGAACCAGTTCTACAATGATGGTGTCAACTGGCACGACGTGGCCTGCCACCACAAGAAGTCCTTCGTCTGCGAGGAGAACGATGCTCTGCTGAAGTATGTGCGCTACACAAATCCCAATCTGCGCATCTAAATCGCTCAAACTCAGACGGAAGTAGCATCTGGAATAACGTGTGGAGTTGGAGCCTCGAGCAGCGACTCCAAATAAACCAAAAATGATATTTTATGTAGCCACTACATACATGCATATAAATGTTTATGTGTATGTATGTAAATGTATGTGCTTCTGTGCGAACAGATTTGTTCGTTTCGGTGCTGCTCATATATAGTTTTTGCTAGTTACTCTTTGAGTGTCTTTTAAACTTCCAACTATCCTGAATGTCTTACGTATTTTTGTAACCGTTTTTCCAATCTCTGCGCTCTTTCTCATCAATTAGATTAATTATTAATTTTGTATTAATTTATGATTCTTTAAATTATAATATAACATTCCAAACGACGTGAAAATTCAAGTGCTTTTTTATGGTTATTGCTACTATGGATATGTGGATGACTTAAATTATGATTATGATTCGATTAATTATTATAATTATAATTATGATTACGGTAAGCCATAACACGACAGCGCCACACAAATTTTTCTTTTCTTGTTCCTGAACTGATGCAATCAACTCATCCTCTGGATGACTCGTTATGCCGCAAAAAATAAAAAAAAATTAAGTGAAATTTCGGTAGTATTGATCAAAGGCATTTGGATTTGCTTACTTTGACGAGCCTTTTATTTACTTTAAAAGTTGCGTAGTACATCAGCATCAATAATTTTAAAGTCGATTCCAAGACGCAGTTTAAAAAAAAACATCGATTTATACAGGTTTACAGGTTAACAATAATTCTTCTGAATTCCAATTAAAGCTAGTTTAACCAAATGTTGTTTGGACATGGGTATGTTTTTTTGTGCGTTATAAAACGCGCGGGTATCGCTGCTTATTAGCTTGTGATACTATCGATAGACAGCCAACGATAGTTGTGATATTAACGAAATATTTTTGGTATCGATACTACATAGTATCGATGTCAATTGTACAACTGGCGTTGATGTTTATTGAATTTGCTGGTTGAATATGGATATTGGCGAACTGTTGGCATTTAAAGCAAGTATGTACAATGCAGGGATGCGCAGCCAATTAACAAGTCTATTATGCATGTATATAACAACAGCCCGAGCAGACACCAAAGAGACCACATGAAGACGACGATGATTTCGCGCTGCCAGAGCCGGCGACTAGCGATATTGGAAAACGGGGCGGCGGCGGCGGCGATGAAAAGGCTAAGCGAATGCGTCGCATTGCGGAGGCTAAGGAAACAGCCAATTACAAGAAGCCTCATGACGGCACATCTGGATCAGGATCAGCCGCGAGCAGCTCATTTGAATTTGATCCAGAGTTAACAGAGGAGGAACGTCTCAATATACTGAAATATGTGGAGAGCGAAGAGGCCGAGGGCGATGCGCTGGACGAGCAAGGCCTTAAGAAGCTAATACTCGTGTTCGAGAAGCGAAACCTGAAGAATCAAGAAATGCGCATAAAATTCTCCGATAATCCGGAAAAATTCATGGACTCGGAACTTGATCTGCACACGGTCATACAGGAGCTGAAAGCAGTGGCTACAGTGCCGGATCTTTATCCGCTGCTCGTCGAGCTGCATGGCCTGCACAGTCTGCTCGAGCTTCTGGCACATCAAAACACAGACATTGCTGTTGCGGTCGTCGATCTGCTACAAGAAGTCACAGATGTAGACATTCTGGGTGAGAGCAGCGAGGGAGCAGAGGCGTTAATCGAGGCTTTGCGTAAGGAGCAAATCTGTGCCTTGTTGGTCCAGAATCTAGACCGCCTTAACGAACAGGTCAAGGAAGAAGCTGATGGCGTGCACAATACGCTCGCTATTGTTGAGAACTTGACCGAAATAGATAGTGAGTTTGTGCGCGAGGCGGCCACACAGGGTCTACTGGCCTGGTTACTTAAGCGGCTCAAGGGCAAATCACCCTTTGACCCAAACAAACTATACTGCAGCGAGATATTGTCTATACTGATACAGACGGAAAACGAGAATCGTCTGCTTCTAGGTACACTGGACGGTGTGGACGTACTACTGCAGCAGCTAGCCGTATACAAGCGTCACGATCCGGCCAGCAACGAGGAGCAGGAGTATATGTCCAATCTGTTCAATTGCATGTGCTCGGCGCTAATGGCACGCGAGAACCGCGATCGATTCCTCAACGGTGAGGGTTTGCAGCTCATGAATCTGATGCTACGCGAAAAGAAAATGTCGCGTAATGGTTCCCTTAAGGTGCTCGATCATGCCATGGCCGGCCAGGATGGACGAGAGAATTGCAACAAGTTTGTTGAGATTCTTGGTCTACGCACCATTTTTCCGTTATTCATGAAAACGCCCAAGCGAAATAAGCAACGTCTTCTCTCCGTAGACGAGCACGAGGAGCATGTGTGCTCAGTGATTGCCTCTATGCTGCGCAACTGCAAGGGCACACAGCGTCAGCGCATGCTGGCCAAATTTACTGAGAACGATCACGAGAAGGTTGATCGCCTGCTGGAGCTACATCTCAAGTATTTGGCTAAGGTGGAGGCCATCGACAGGGAAATCGACCAGCAACCCAAGGTAAGCTCCATAAATTAATTTCGGTCTGAGCCAAATGGAAATTTTTGATATTTCAATCAGGCTGAAGGTCTTTGTCGTTCCGGCTGTACTATCACTGTTAATTTTAGGAATGATCATTATTTAGTAGGAAAAATAATAATAATAATAAGACATCAATGTTTGGAAACAATTTTAAATACAGAGGCAGTTAATGTATATGTTTTCCATCTATATTTCACCCAGAGCATCGATTTTATAAAATCCACCAAGCGCACTCTACATTAATTTCACAAACATCTAAGAATCGGTTTAAAAAAATATTTTGTAGTTTCACCCGTTGCTAATTTTTAAAATATATAATTTTCCAGTAATCATCGATTCTTAAAACGTTACGTAGAAAGAATATTAATAGATTTATTTATTAGGATGCCAGCATTGACGAAGATGAGGAGGCCGAAAACAATTACATAAAGCGTTTAACTGGCGGTCTGTTTACACTACAGCGTATCGACTACATCCTGCTGGAGGTCAGTGCCACCACGGAAACGGTTAAGCAACGCGTGCTGCAAATTCTTAACTTGCGGGGCGCCTCTATGAAGACAATTAGGAGTATAATGCGAGGTAAGCACACCCCGATATTAATACCAAGACAAAGTTAATCTTTTAAACCAATATTTTTAGAATACGCTGGCAATTTGGGGGACGGCGACACCGACTGGCGAGAACAGGAGCAGACGCATATACTTTCTCTGGTAGATCGTTTCTGAACCACTTCTCCCCCTACAATGACCAGCTATTATAAAGAAATAACAACATAAATTCAACGTCCGTTGGCGGTTATCACATTATGGAATTTGCCTATAATATATAGAAAATTTTGATTATATGATAATTTTGAAAAATTGAAACAGAGTTAAATTTTTTAATTTGAATTTTTTGCATGCCCATCCATAGGCAGATTAAGGGTATTCGTCCTTTCTAATACTCATGTTTTAACCATTCTACTTTTGATTTTATTTTATCAGCTTCTCCCTTTGTTGTTTTTCAAATAAACATCTGCCTTTACATCTGCCTTTACATCCGCTTTCGTCTTCAGTTTCTCTATCTTATTTCTTGTTATCCTTGCATTTGTCTTTCTTTTCTTCTTTCTTTTTTTCTTCTTTTTTGCATTTGTCCCTATAGAATTGTATATTAGATGACGAAATTATGATATTAGACTATGATAAAAAGTTCTATGATCATTCGTTTATAATAATTACGTGAAATAAGTGCAACAATTAAGAAAAAATAAATACATTTTGGGTTCGGTTTGTCAACGAATGAACATAACATGGGTTTTTCAAGAACAGAATTTCCAAATAAAGTGCTACGGCTTTGTAAGATTACTGAATTTTAATTTAAAGCAAACTAATTTAAATTGCATAATACACGACATACTACTTTTTAAGCAGTTTGCATTTCAAATAAATTAAATAAGTTTTTTTTTGCAAAAATCACTTTCGACGTTAGGTTTATGTTTCAGCTGTATTCAACTTTCGTGCAAATAACAATATATTTGTTTTTTACGCTTATTATGTTTGACAGGTGCAAAAAACGTTCAGCTCTTAGGATTATTCGAAGTTATTAAATAATATTACGACATGGTTTGTTCAAAATGTCACAACAACGATCGGAGTTTAACCTCAGCTTATGGTTCATCAGATTTTTGCAAAATGATCCAATTATTTTAATTCGATTAATCGAAATCAAATATTTCTAACTACTAAGCAGATGTAGGTAGTTTTATGTAAATTGTATCTAATTTTTTGAGTAAATGTGTTGTTTTGTGTTTATGTTGTCGTTTGTGTTATACGTGGGCTTTATGGTTGACTTAGCCGTTTATTGGGTTGATCTACTTTTGTGCATCGGGGATCTCAAAGTTAACATCCATGTTCATTTCGCGCGCCAACGATACGATTTGCGCCAAATGCACAGCCAAATCGGCAGCCTTGTCCAAATCATCGCGAGCCAAGATCTTCAAGCCCGATGAACGTATCAGTTCGCGAGCCTCCTTCACTTTGGTGCCCTTCAAACGAATTCACAAAGTACATCAGAAAATTGAATGTCCTTTTGGAGCCAAATCGTGACACTTACTTGCAAACGCACGACAATTGGCAAGTTCAGATTCAGATCCTTCGCGGCCGCAATGATACCCTCAGCAATGACATCGCAACGCATAATACCACCGAAAATGTTCACCAACAAACACATGACTTTCTTGTCCGACGTAATAATCTTGAATGCCGCCTTGACAGCTTCTGCTGTGGCTCCACCGCCAACATCAAGGAAATTTGCCGGCTCACCGCCGTACAACTTGATAATATCCATGGTTGCCATGGCCAAGCCAGCACCATTCACCATGCAACCGATGGTACCATCAAGTGCAATATAATTCAAATTGTATTTGGCCGCCTCAACCTCTTTGGGATCCTCCTGGGTCCAGTCGCGCATGCTGAACAACTCCTTCTGACGGAACTCGGCATTGTCATCAAAACGCAATTTAGCATCGAGGGCGAAGACTAAAACGGGCAAAAAAGTTATTTTGATTAATCAATTACTTATGCCGTGATAGTATGAACAACACAATTTGCTTTGATACTTATTAAATATGTTTATGTTATAATATAAATGGTTTGTTTGAATATTGCACGACCAGGATTAAGATCAACCAGAGATTGTATAATTGGTCAGCATAATATAACGTATATATATGGGCAAATATGTATTGTTCTTTT